TCGCTTCGGCCTCGTGGTTCCTGTATGATGCAATTCTTCTGACAGTATCATGTTCAGTGTTTCGGTGTTTCAGATCGCTTTCCAATTTGGCTTGGTTTGCCTCGAAAACCTTCTTTCTGGATTCTCTAGTGATCTCTTCAATACTGTTTTCATACAATTCGGCCTGTTTACGAGACTGAACTAGAGCTTCACTCAATCGCTGGTTCCGTTCAGACAATTCATGAACCGCAATTGATTGTTGTTGGCTAATCATTTCAAGTTGATTGCTTGAGAAGGATGCCATTTCGGATCGATTACGATATTCCATGATTGAGTTCTGGAAATCCGTCTGCATTTCTTGACCTTCAGTGTACAATCGGTTGGCAATATCGGTAGTTAAGACATTGGTCTGATGAAGTTGTTGCAGTCTTGCCTCCGTATTACCCAATAGTCCTTGAAGGTGATGTACTTCATCCTTGTACTCTTCCTGGATCTCCATACCGCGTTGATGGATCCGTCTTGCACCGTGTTCCATCAGGGCACCTCGGCGTTCAAGGTCTTGGATGCGTATTGTTGCACCTTCGTCTTCCTGAGATGCTACCATTAGTTCTGCTTGATACTCTGCAACCTCATTTGCGGAACATGACAATCTATGATTGAGTGCATTGACCTCATCAAACACATTCTGGTTGTGTTCCTGAAGATATTCAGTGAATCTGATCTCGATGTCATGAATCAGTTGATCTCTTGATGCAGCATATGCTTCCATATTGTTCAACTGATTACGTAAGGATTGACATTTTTCCCGTAGTTCTTCTATGATGGCAATAGGTTCACTAGCCACAGAAGTATCCGTTGATCTCCTCTTAACACGAGTGTCCCCGGTCCTCTCACCAATTCGGTCGGTTCCGGCCCTGGTGGATCTGTCCCTTGGGGTAGTTCGTCCTCGAGATGGTCGATGCCCTTGGCGGACAACATCACTTCGAGCACTGTTTCGAGAAGATCTTGGTGTACTTTGGGTGGACATTCTTCGTCTGTTTGATGTAACTTGCCATCCGGACTGTGTAGTTCGGGTAGAGCGTATCCCACCACTGTCTGCTGTGTCGCCAGGGGAAGATTGAGTGACCTCCTCGACCGGCATAGCAGCGTTCTCGTTGAAGGTAAACTGCGTGTTGCGCGAGTCCCCGCTGCCGCCCTGCATCTTTGCGATGATGAGCTGATTGGTCCTTTGCGTCCACAATCTTAAGCTCTGACGGCCCGGCTACCAGCACGCAGGTACTCCTCTTCCGACGGAAGAAGTGAGCCCCTACGGCTGATAACCTGTGAACAATTTTAATCCTTGTTCCCGGATATCTGGTTGTAGTTGTTGGAGTCCCTAACGTCCTAGTAGCCGGAGTCCAGGCAGCATTGCTGAGCGGCGCAAACACCGTTTTCCCTTGCGACTTGAGCCAGATATTTGGCGTCATGTCAGGCCTACTCCACATGCTTATACATGTGTGCAGTACCGTTTAGTTCCCTTTAGCATATATATATATTATAACATATATTATAATTAACATATTAGAACATATTAGAACTAAATTCCATAAAAAAAATGCATTGAAGTGAGAGATTGGTGGCTGCGACTTTGCTTCTCGACCCGCCGTTCCTATTTTTTTCGATGGCACTTTTTTTTCGGCAGGTTGCAACTCTGTGCTTGAAATCTGCAGCTGTTGTTCACCTGCCAGGGCGCAACGGAGAGACTGGTAGACCCCGGATGATGCTGTTGAAATGCTCAAATCAATGGCTACAATCTGTCCAAAATCAGAAGCCAGGTGGATCAGCAGCTCTGCATGTTTTTTCTGCATAGAAAATGGTGATGTTCCGCCATATATGTTAGTTTACAAGAGGGTAATGCCCCAATAATTCCCATTTCATGAAATCCCCACTCAAGCCCTCACGGACTGTTTGTGGAACATAGCAAGTGTAGTCCCACGACACGGTTGGTGTCCAAGGCCAAGGTCAGTGGTAGCTACAATCGCATGCCCCTTTGCTCAAGGCATTCTGCGAAGTTGTAACTTAACTACCCACAAAAACTGTACACTACAAGCTGGCGTTGTAACCCAGCAACACATCAAACCCAAGGCCTGAAATTCCGGGACTTGCTTGAGCGCTGTAGATAGAGAGAACAGCTTAAAGAAGTAGAGGAAAAATGAGGAAAAGATAGGAAGAGAACAATCATTCAATAACAGTGAATTGGTTTGCCTGTTTTGTGCCGTTCAAGTGGAAAAATGGAAATCTATGGAAAACTATCACCTCCGTGGGCGATCACCAGCATAGAAGCTTCTTGAATATCCATCGCATGTTTCTTATAGTCCATCTGAACGTAAGCCCCCCCCCGCCAATGTATTCACAAGCGGTCAAACAGCAGGATACAAAAGCAAGTTAAGAGATCTTTCCTCCGAATATATGTCTGGACCATCTATTTTTTGGCTGATTTCCAGTCATTGATAGGTTGAACCAACCGCAACATTCCAACTTTTTATCCGTCGAATACCTTGCATCCGCAGAAGGTGCAACCAATTTTGGAAACAAATATGACCATATGACAGAAAGTAACACTTGTAATTGGATGTCATTCCAGTTGCTTCAAAGCTGTGTTGCTTTCTAGTAGGCCTCTCAAATTTGAAAGAATTTGAAATTAGTGCTGCAGTTTCCTCAAGAAATCTCAAGAAATGTACTGGAATTTCACTTGATCACTGCAATTTGCGTCCGGCGAGGTAGAATTCATCAGCCCAGCACATGGAACAGGATAAGGAAAGAAGTCAAGTACCAAGCTGCTGTTGAAGCTGACGGACAGGAAGAGGGTAAAAGGCACAATCTCACAGCTAGCACTCACATTGAAAACGTTAGACCAGACGATCTGGTCATCAGAAACATACTCGCCAAGGCCAAAGCCAGCTTCATTCGTGAGGACTCGAACCGAGGTTGCTTCAGCGGATTCGTTGTTGCACGATAGCCCACTGATGCAACCAGTGACTAGGCCTTGAGCGGGATCGTTCCTGTTGTCGTTGGGGAATGAGAAAGAGAAATCCCCACTTGTGCAGGAGGAGGAGGGATGCTGGCGTCGGCGTTCCAGCGCTTCCTTGATTTTCTTGATCTTCCATATCTTCTTCCACGGGAAGCCTTCTTGGCTCCTTTGTTCTTGCGAAAGCCCTGGAGAATTGGGATCTAGAACATCGAACACTTCCTCTGTGCCATCCTCATACTTGAAGATGATTGTGACTGTGTCGTCCTCATTAAGCTTGTAGATGTGTTCGACTACAACCTTGTCGTCGAGTTCATTTTTGGTTGTCTGCTTCCCCATGACTTGAATCGAAGCAAATGCATGCCACAGCAGCACCCACAGCATCATTCTCGCCGAGTGAGTCTGCGTTTACCGATAGGGTATCAACTTGGGACTGAGGCTTGAGCCAGCATTGCGGAAGTAACAACAGCTTTCCGCACAGCCATACAGAGATTCTTCCACATTCTGCCTCGCCAACACTACGCTGAGGCACAAACACTTTGCACAAGAGGAAGACGGTCCATGCACAAGTCACAAAGACATTTCCAAGATCGAAGGAATGCAATGGCATTTTAAAAAACTTAAGATACATGCAATGCGCAAGTTCCATTCAATCCCTGTCTGCCCCTTCCACCAAATGGACCAGCCTCTGTTTAATGTTGTCGTCCCAGAAGCAAGGCGGCGCATTGGTTGATCAAAAATGTGGGTGACTGTTGGAATATTTGGTAGGTGGTATCGGGATCTTTGTGAATGTCTTTGTTGTTGTTTTTCCTGGGTTGTTTTTGCGCGGGCGAAATGGATTCAGGGATGGTGAAAGGTTTGGCACTTCCGTTCGAAATGGATTTTTGGGGTGTGCCAAAGTTCATGAATTCTGGTTTTCGGATTGTGGGTATTATATGGTATTATATCACGCTGTTCTGAAATTATGATCAAAATTGGGTATGGGAAATGGACAACCCCTACGCAAGTAACGTATACCCGCCGTGAATTGTATCTGTTCAACAAGCTTGGTGAACTTACAGGGGCCAATGAGTCCTTGTTCTTTGAATGGCTGCGGTCCTGCGGTGTTGTTTCCCCGTGGCAGTTGTGTTTGCACTGTCTGCAAGATGTTTACAGAAGAGTTTCCGGAGTTTACCTTTCTCATTCTGTGCGACTTCGTTTGGAAGGCAACATTTCTGCTACAATTGCTGCTCAACTTTGCCATCAACATGTGCCTGAAACCGAACGGCCTGACCTATGACTTCCGCGCTCACGCTCTCTGAGTAGCTTTCAGCTTGCGCGACAGGGAAGGTCTCAAGGATTCTCAAGGGTCCTTTCTCTGCTACAGATGTCTTCCTGATCTAACTCAGGTCAGCATCGTTCGATCTGTGTCTTTTCACATCCCAGCCTTAGCCCAGGGTAGATCAGCGCTTTTCACATCTCGCCAGTCGATGGGACGCGGTTTGGACGGCCTTTTCAGCCATCTAGCTATGAAGCAACGTCAGTGACAGCACACCATGGCTTGGTGATGGACCAACATCCGTTCAAATACTTGGGATGATCTTCCTAGTGATAGGGATCTTAAATCAAGCTGTGTTTCTTTTTGATGTTGTTTAAAATCTTTGAAATGCTTTGAAACCACCAACCAGATAAAATGCTCTCAGCTTGGAAAGCAGCGGCAAGCCTCACCAAAAAAAGGCCCAGTCGCGAGTCGCGGCTCGCATCGATGCCGCGCGTGCTATGCGTAGATTCGCCTCTATATGTTTTTACTATCTACATTTATCTATGTACAGAATGATAATTCACCCATCTATAATCTATCTATAATCTATAATATTTCACCAGTTCACCTGAAAGAAGGCTAGTTTGGGACGTCGCAGGCTTGGGTCGTTATAATCTGTTCAGTGTTTATGTATACTGTATACTGTATAGCTGGATAATTAATAAAAACTAATAGGCCATCGATAATTTAGCTGGTGATTCTTAATTTTCAATATCGACCTAGAATTGAGCTTCAGTGAATCCTACGCTGTGAAACGGCGCAACTCAAAGCTCTAGGCTCGCTCCGCGTTTCACAAAATTCACGAAGTCCTGCCGATCTGAGGGCAACGGGGTGCCAATGGAGCCAATAAATCTTGGTCACATCATGCTTGATGGTTTAAAACCGCTTAAAAACTTTATAGCTGATGGTGAAATCCCCATGAAATCATCGTTTTGGGATCTGAAACAAACCAATTTTGGGGGGGGGGATCCTAAAATAGGGGTACCCCCAAAGTATCCACCACAAAAGGATGTTCCATTGTAAACTATCCATTTTGGGGTACCCCCATTTTAGGGAACCATCCATTTTGGGGGGGAACAACTTGATGATCACCAGCCTTAAAGCTCACCATTCCGGCTCCGGCTTCTTTGAGCATCGCGACCGTCGCCTGGCATCACCGGTCTGCTCGCTGCTACCGGTCGTATAGTATGACTGGTGTGGTCGGTAAAACATGGTCACGATATATCGCATGATTTCATGTTCTGTCCATATGATTATGGAGATGGGGATAGGTCAGAATGATCAACAAAGATGGGAGATTACACAACATGACCAAGAAATTCTGGGCTCCTTTTGTGCCCAAATGATTTAAATGACTTGGCCTGACTTGAAAGCATAATACAACAAGCACATCATGTAATCCAATGCATTCCGATACCATGTAATCTGATAACCCCATATCATCTGGCAATCCCAGATCATTTGGTAATCCCATATCATTTGATTCTTTGATAATCTTATATCATCTGATAACCCCATATCATCTGATACTCCCCATCTAATAATCCCATATCATCTGATAATGCCCATCTAATAATCCCACACATATCATTTGATAATGCCCATCTAATAATCTCATATCATCTGATAATGCCCATCTAATAATCCCATATCATCTGATAATGCCCATCTAATAATCCCATATCATTTGATAATCCCAGATAATCACACAAAGTACTATCTTGACCCATCCACATGGCAAGACGTCTCTCACCCAACCTGCGCAGGCTCGGTCAAGCACGCGCTGAACTCACCTGGGAAAATCCATGAAAAGCCGAAAACTCAATAGATATCCATAGATGATAACTGGGGGCACCCATAGGTACCCCCATTTTAGAAAACCTTCGCAGGGTTTACCAACAAGAATTCAGGGGGGTCCTGTAAATGTTCGCTTCAAGCACTTCTGGGACAATGGAGTCTGGGATGGTCTGGGTTAAAAAAAACGCCAAAACTGGATAATTGTTTATTCTTCACATTTTGAAAATGAACATTGTTGCAAGATGAGTCAAGATGTTCGTAGGTGGAAGCTGGGATTTCTCAAATTAATTGAGAATGCCGACCACGAAAATGCCGTATAAGTAACAATAAAGTATAATATTGTTGCTGTGCCAACGGTGCAAAGCAGTCGCTCGACATTTTTCACCAGCAAACTACTCATGTGCCTGAAAAGGTGATAGGGCCATCACGGCCGCAGATTGGCAAATGAATGTTGCAACCTGCAAAGGAAATGATATGTGCCAAGACATGTCAGTGACATTCACACTGGTATGGCGTCTTCGCGTTTTGAAGACTGACTTGGCACAGTAAAAGGAAAACTCAGCAGCGCTTCACCAATGCTCTGCCACCACAGAGTGCTTGTCATCTTCTTGGTGAGTATGTCTGCCCACTGCTTGTCCGTCGGCAACCAGTGAAGAGGCACCTTCAATGGCCTATCAGGCCGCACTTCTCCATTTCCATGCTTTTCCTTCCATTGATGCCGTCCTTCAACTGTCAAAGCTTGACGGATCGCAGCTAACTCTATTGCCAGCCTCTTTTCTGAAGGAGGACGTGGTACTCCCTCTCTGTGAAGGTGGTCATAGAGAGACTTGCAGTCCGTGAAAAGATGCATCGGGAGTCGTTCTCCTGCCGTTTTCTCGCTCACGAGCTCTCCGTCACGAAATGAAACCAAAAGCCCTCTAAGGAAAAGTGCTGTTTCCAAAGCATCACCACACGCCATAGTTTCTCCAGCAAAAGTCGACCTGCACACACGAGTCGAAGCTTTGCTCCTCCAATCCACTATGCAGCTTGGACACACCTGGTTTTGCATGCATCTATCGTCACCCACCATCACCAGAGTTCCAAGTTGGGACCCGAGTGGATGTTCACCTTCCCAAAGAGGATCTACATCTTGCACCTCTGTGATATCCACGTTGCCCCAAGCCGCATCATGAAAAGCAAAAATGGCCATATGCTCCTCCGGGGTTCGACGCAAGACGATCCCTTTGTCGAAGTGCTTCTTCGCCAAATCTACCAACTTGTTGGTGTTCCTCAAATCTCCAATGGTGGGCTTATTCTGCACCCGTTGAGCTTGGGCCACAGAATATTGTAGGTCTGGCCGAGTTTGTTTAGCCAACCACGACAATGCTCCCGCCACACTCCGGTGCCGGAGTACCAAGTCGGCCGTTGCCTCCTCGTCATCTTGCATCCCACTGGGTATGGAGATCTTTTCAACGCGAGTCTGGGTGTAACCGGTTTGTGTGATCCGGATTTCCCTTGCATTGACCTTGTACTCGCACCCCACATACTCGAAGCTGTTCTGCTCCCACTCATCAATCGGAAACTTCTCCGACAACCGGTCTTTGACCTCCTGGAAGATTTCCGGGGCAGCCATCACCAAGAGGTCATCCACATGGGTGAAGATCATGCCGCAGATGAGGCGGTCGCGGAGACGCCGGATGCGGAATGCACATGGGTCAATCTCATTCTGTTCAATCACATAAATTTCTCTTTGCACCTGAAGACGGAGTTGCAGGAGATCACTCGAAAGTTTGAGCCACCACAACTTGGGTGAAGTTGCCAGCCCAAAAACTCCTTTGACAATCTCAATGAGTTGACCCTTCTCGAGGGTAGGAATGCCCCTCACAGGCTGCCTGAAATAGAGGCCTCGGGGAGCTTCGACACCATTCAAGAAAGCTGCCCTGATGTCTCCGACTGTCACCATCCAGCCTCTTGCCAGTGCAAGCAAAAGTCCAAGCAGCACTGCATGGCGGCTGGCCGTCGGCGCATCCACACTCATCTCGACGTGCCCAAGGTCAGGATCTTTCTGCCCGCCAACACAAAGCCGAGCCTTTGGCTTGCAGGGGATGGAGCTATCTTGCCGCCGCTTCGACCTGTTCTTGTCCCGGTAAAGGAAACGGGCAGGTAGAATCCGTTCCTTGCCAATTGTCGATTCCACCGCCCGGGACTCTTCGATGCTGAGCGGGCGTACTGCTCCAAAGTCCACATGCTCCTTCCACTGCTTCAATTCAGCTTCCTTGTAGAGTTCCTTTTCTTCGAAAGGAATCATATTCCAGGGAAGCTCCTTGTCGAGGGCTTTCTCGAAGGCCTCTCCAGAAAGTCCATTCTTGGTGTAGAAGTTCTGAGCTGCTCTTCCGGCTGGACCATACTTCAAGGTCATGGGCACATCGTCCAAAAGCCGAGCCTGCTTTTTCAAGGTCTTGTGTTGCTGCTCGATCTGTTCAGCTTTGCGTCTTCTTCCACCTCGGTCCACCTCCATGTTGGAACTGGACGCCATTGCTGGAACATCTTGGACACATGGTGTTGATTTTTCTTCCTCACTGACTGCCATATCGTCTGGTCCATCAGCAAACTCGGCAAACTCATTGTTGAGAGCTTGCTCCACCTCTTTGATTGCAGCACGGATTCGTAGTGCCAAGGAGACTTCTCCATGCTCAGCGGGTCGTAGGTGTTCTCCTGCTGCAAGCAAGCACCTCCCACCACGGGCTGCCCAATAGTTGCTGCCTTCTGCTCCAATGATGGTTGCCGGTCCAATCCACTTCGCCTTCGTCTTTTTGTTGGATGGGTCATCCCGGTAGATATAGACCATATCTCCGGGCTTATATGTTCTGGGCTTCACCCGAGCTCGATGTGACAAGGCCTTGCTGATGGACCGGACATTCTGTGTCTCGAAGAATGCTGCCCGGGCTGCTATCTTCAAGGCATGCTTTCGCCCCATCTTCTCATCCGTGGTGATTGCACTGAGGGCACTCCAGTCCTCGTCATCCTCGAGGCTTGCCATGGTCTTGCCATTCGTCCCGAAGACCCATTGCCTCGGGGAGAAACCACTCCTGTTGCGCAGGGAGTTCCGTGCCTCACTCACTGCCCCAGCTGCATCATGTAGGTCTTGATCTCCAACACCTTGATGTTTGCAGACCTTCCTCCATACATCTTTCCATGACTGCCCAAACCTCTCGGCAATTCCATTCTGCCAATGAGCTTGTCCGGCAGCCGATTTCATGCTGATGCTGTGATCTGAGGTGAGCTCCCAAAAACTATCCTGGAAGGCGGTATCTAAGTCCAAGACCAGCCTCCCAGGAACACCTGCCCATGAAATCCAATGGCGGTAGGATGCCTGAGCCACCGTGTCAGACTTCCTATTCTCGATGGGCACCACCACCTGGTAGGTTGATGCCAAGTCCACCATGTTCAGAGCTGGGACCCCTGTCGACTCCAAAGTGTCGAGGAAGATGATGTCCAAGGCCACTCATTAAAGTCCAAGAGAGCCGCTGGCTTGGCCACCCGATGCGCTTTGGGCTGGGCACAGCTCGCACAGGTCTTGCAGACCAACTTCTCGGCACCCTCTACCATTTCAGCAGGAGCTCCACTCAACCTTAAGTGCCTCACCAGTTCTCGTTGAGAAGGGTGGCCGAGGTTTTGGTGTAGCCTTTTAAGCGCTCCACCAACAGCTCCATTGATGGTGCCCTTGAAGGTGATGTCGGCTGCTCCACCAGGGGCATCATCTTCGGATGCTGGAACGAGCTCACGCTCATCATCGACAGCCTCCTCGGCAACTTCTGCTAAGGCATCCTCAGCATTGCCCCCATCCACTGCAAAAACTCGTTGGGCCTTTCTTTGTACTGCGATTTTGGAAGCAGCCTCCACAGCCTTTGCAAACTCAAGTGGATACTCTGCTGAGTGCCCAGTCTCTTTCCCCTGGATGACTTTGTGGTCATGTTCATCCCCACACCGGCTTTTGAGCTTCTCCTCATAGACAGGGTTCGTTGAAAGAAGCTTGATGGGCTTCCGCAGAGGTGTTTGGCCATCTACCGACTTCATCCCAAACTGGCACAAGTCGGTCCGGAAGAAGCACATGTTGGAGTCCGAGCACCAGGGAGCAAGCAAAGGGTCACCCAGATGTCACTTGTCATAGGGTTCTCTATCACCACATCGCGCCCAGCCGCCAATTGCTTGATGAGCATCTCGTTCATCACCCGCAGAAAGACTTTCTGCTTTTGCCTTCTGCGTCTCAGCTCCTGCTTGGAGAAATTCAACCTGGAAAATCCACACCAATCAGTGCAGGGAGGAGCCATCCATACCAGGTCAGGCTTCTCATTGTCAATGGTTTCATACAGCTCATGCTGCACTGATTCTTGCCGTAGATCATCTCCAAAAAGCAGGTCCATGGGTCGGAGTACCCCCCTCCGGGCCGCCGCGAACGCCCCAGACAACTTGGCGCTGCCAGCAAAGACCTCCAGGAAAGCAGCTCCATCGCCGTCTCCAGCCAGCCCACCGTTCCCGGTCAGCAGGTTGATGCCTGGCTCCACAATACACTCATTGGCCATGCTTCCCACCACGAAGGCACTCGCCAAAAGAACTTGGTGAAGCCTGCGCCCCATGGCAAGGAGCTTCTTTCGAATTGGCTTCTTGGCCTCTCTCCTCTTGCGGATCCCCGCAACAGCCTTCTGCCGAGGAGTCATAGTAGGCCCATCGTCCTGACAATCTTCGCTGCCAGACTCATGTTCGACTTCAATCACGAAGGTCTCTTCCGGGACCTCCTCATACTTTGCCTCAGTGCCAAGCCCGACTGTCACGTCATTCTCAATGTCCTCCCCATCGACAACCTCGCTGCTGAGCCCGATCACCCTGTCATTCTCAGCAACTATGTCGATGTCCTTGAGCATAGCCCCATCATGAGCTCCACTGATCCAGCCTTTGGCATGCCGGATCATTGTTGATATCCACGAGGAGGGATGTGATGCTTCTGCTTCAGAGCTGCTAGCCTCATCTCCAACTCCGCCAGCTCGGCCTGTGCTTCCTCGCTCAGTTCCGACTGCATGGCGGAGATTGCTTCGATCTCCTCCTCGAACTGCCTCTTGTCTTTCCCCGGAGACCTCCTTGATGATCCCTGGCTCACTGACGACTTCCATGACACCACGGATGCCACATCTGGCGGCTCCACCACTGCCTTCACCTCCGGGTCGTCCGTGGCCAGCACCGTGCCGCTCTTCTTCATCCGAGCTTGACGGCCCGACAATTCCGTCTGAGCCCACTTTGCAAAGAGCTTCAGGTCTGGGGAGGCATTCGAATTGGCTCTCACCTCCCGGATGCTCCAATCCATGTAGGACTCCGGCACCTCCTTGTAGAGCCAGCTGCGGTATTTGCCGAAGGTCATGACGTGGTCCCCAGGCGGCTGCACTGCCTCCCGGATCAGTTTGAGAAGCACCCCCCTTGTCGGTTTTGCTGGCACCGTGATCTCCAACTCCGCCGCCTTGGTCAGCAGCTCCTCCAATTTCAACTTCGTGAGGCCAGTCGCTGGGTTTGCCTCGCCCCTCGGAAATCTGATTTCCCGCTGCTCGATCAGCGACTGCCGGATCTCGGGCACCGTCCATTGTGGATGGACCGGAACTTGGTATGACTCCAGTTCCGTCACCAGTTCCTCCCGGCGCATCTTCCATGGTGATGCCAGGACAGCGGAGGACAGCACAGGCATGGGCGATCGAAGACTCGCTGTCGTGCTTGACCAAGCGCTTTTTGAAACAGCTGCGGCCGATCCATAGATTTCCAAACATGTCCTTCACGTCATCAACCATGTCATTCCGATTCTCAGACCTCCAAACTCCTTCATGCCTCAGCTCATGTAGACCTTCTGCATGACATGGGATCACCTCCGTATACCTGACCTCACCCAACATGTCCAACAGTTGCTCTTTCAAATGATGAAGTGGAGTTTTCCATGCTCGTGGATCAAAAGGAAATTTTCGTGGCACCACATGCACTCGTATGATCATGTCAGAGTCTTCAATCCAAAAATCTCGGCTTTGATTTGCTGTTTTCCACCACGTGTAGAAGGAAACCCTTGACAAAGTGGATGACTTCAACATGTTCTCAACTTCAAGTGCCAACTTTTTTGGATAAAAGAGAGGTTTGCTCGACACCGAATTCCCTTGATGGTCCAGCTCACGCTCCTTGTATGCTGACTCGGCGGCCGCAGGATCCTCTGCATCTAAGATTGGAAACTGGACTCTCTCGTCCGATGTCCATTCCTTGGCCAACTGCTGACGAATGTCACTGGGATAGTCAGACACGACTAGTGCAGGGTGCCCCGTGGGTGAAGTTTCCATTGGCACTTCCTGCAAACCCAAATTGCGCAAATCGGCCTTCTGGCCCACTACATCATACGTCATTCCAAGAAAAACCAAAATGACCAAAATGGTCTTGCTGAACAAAAGGGGCACATCGCACTGTACAATGGCTATCTTAGCCTTGAAAGGTTGCCCTTCTATTGCAAAAACTGCGTTCACCGCAAAGTGAGACTCATGGACCCTCGAAGCACCAAACTTGAAACGATCTCGTTCTTCAATGATCTCAACCTCCCAGCCCTGGCGATCAGCTACCTGGCAGTACTGCTCATACCACAAGTGCCCTGCCACTGCCTTCGTGCAGGCGGTGTCCGTGATCGCCAGCATACGGCTGGCCCCACCAGTGAAGATGGAGTCCACGTGGCCCTCCTGGTCAGTGATCGTTGCAATGTCATTCGCAGGGATGTAGCCACCAGCTCCATCGCCAGTCATGTAACACATTTGCACATGGTTGCACACCTGCACATTCTTGGTGTTGCCATTGCCCACCGAAGTCACCGAAGCCGATGTTTTGCCACGAAGAGGGCATTCTGGGTCACGATGCCAATGTCCGCGACGTTTGCATGCCGCACAAAAGCTCTTGGCCTTTGCGGCTTTTAGCCGCTCCTCGCTCCTCTTCTTCAGCTCGTTGGCATCGACTCCACGGCCTTTCATGGCCTCACGGTATTTCGACTTTGCATCCTGGAAGGCCATGAAGGCACAATGGTAATTCTCGGCCACAGTCTCGGAAACCAACTCCGAGTCCGAAGGATCAGGATCAACGTCCTCCGGCTCGGCCTCATCCTCAGTCATGGGGTCTGCCGCATTGGTGACGTGGACAGACCTCGGCTCACCATAGCCACTTCCGCCATTGTTCCGGCCACCCCACCTCGGATTTCCTTTTTCCCATGTCCTCTTAGGACCTCTGTCATGTAGTATGGCCGCCTGCTGAAGCAACTTCACATCGTACTGGTTCTGCACAGAGGAGAGAAGTGCCAGTTCTTCGCCTTCACTCAGTTTCAGCTTGTCCAGGTAGAGCCATGCTTTGACCAAGCCCGGAAGCTCACAGTTCAGCTCCTTCAGGTGCAACACCAACCTTTCAAACTCCACATTGAAGTCCCGCACAGTCTGCTCCGGTTTCCTTCTGCACCGCCGGAACAGCTCTGTCATCACATTTCCAACCTTCGTCACCTCCATCTCCATGAATCGGACTCTGATCCAATCCTGGAAGTATTCAACTCCTCCGGGACGGGCCAGCATGTCCACATCCAGCTCCTCCGCGAAGACCCATGCCTTGCCCCCCGAGCTTGAGTAGAGGGCAACTGCTCTATCCTTCTCTGCCATGCGCGTGCACTTCAGCCAAGCCGCCACTTTCCGCAGATAACTGCGTGCAGACCGTCCTAGTTCGGACTCATTGCCTTCTCCCGTGAACTCGGGCACAACCAACTTCTCGTTTGACCGATTTCCTCCAGGGCGAGCAGAATCTTCCTGAGCTCCTTCTTCGCCCCAAGTGCTGCCAGTACCCTGGCTGCTATGCCCTTGTACACCTTGCCATTTGCCATCACGCACCATGGTGGTTTCTTCGACCCTGGAAACATTGCTTCCACGTCTATCTCCCCAGCTATGGTCATCCCAATAGCTAGAACTCCAATTCCAGGGCTCATTCCACCATCTCTCATTCCAACCACTTCCATACCAGCTATCACTCCATTCCCAGTCCTGGTGTCCAGCAGCTGTGTCCTCCATCTCGCCGTTCTCAAGCTCCCGCATGCCGTCCTGGGACGATTCGGCCCTTGCAGCAGACTCGACATGTGGAGTGCCCCCATCAGCACTCTCATCGCTAACTGCGGCCTGATGCCGTTCAGTCCCAACCCCAGCCCGGGGTCTCCATTGTTGCACCATAGAGCTCTACCGGAAAGATCTCCTCGGCAAACCCAAGGATGTAGTAGCGGAGGTTCCTGCAGCCAGGCACCAGGTAGGCAAACTTGTCCCGGATAGCCGGCTCCGCCTACCAATGTTGCTGTGCCAACGGTGCAAAGCAGTCGCTCGACATTTTTCACCAGCAAACTACTCATGTGCCTGAAAAGGTGATAGGGCCATCACGGCCGCAGATTGGCAAATGAATGTTGCAACCTGCAAAGGAAATGATATGTGCCAAGACATGTCAGTGACATTCACAAATATAGTACGATAATAGATGGTGAAAACATGTAAAAACCATAGTTTCCAGCGTATTTTCCCTTCAACATCCTTCAATCAACCCAGTGCTCCTTAGATTTTCCCTTCAATCATTCCCCATTGAAAGCCAGTTTAACAGCTTAACACCAGTGAAGTCATGGCAGCGCCTTTGCGCAGAATCAGTTCGAGCTCTTTGGCATCGATGTACCTGCAAAAATCTGGGGATGGTTCGATGAGCAGCGTAACATCATCAGCGTAACATGAACGTTAACATCCCACCCCACCCCACCCCAACCCATGTTTGCTCAAGTTTGTATGGGGTCGCTAATGTGGCCGTGAGCTTCAACATGGATGGTAGCTGTTGGGAGCTGCACAAAATTGGCGACTGGTGACTGGACTAAGAGTGGTTGTAAAGAGCATCCTTCTGTGGTACATTGACACGATGTTTCAGAACCCAGCTATACGTATATATGAATGTACAATATGTTGGTGCACATAAACATATTTAAAAAAAAAAAACATCTACAATTTACATCACAATTGCGGTACTGCACCCATTATCACCCATTTCTGTGCCATGTGTCATGAGATCCAGTCCTCATGTGCACAAGCCGCCCATGGAGAGCTCACGACATCCGAGTTCATGTTGTCTTCCAAGTGTCGGCAGTGTCGGCTGTAATTTCCAGCAATCGGCCAATGGTAAGTCAGATCACCGGAAAACCTAAGCCACACATGACAAAGCAGTAGACTTTGGAGTCAAAATGTTGTAACTGTTCCACAGATTTCCACAGTTTCGCAAATCTAAAGGCTGGATTTGCAGATACCTTGATCCAAAGGCAGAAAGACGCCAATGCCATGGTTGCAAGTCCCTGCCACAGACATTTCGCACCGAACCCCTGGCACCTGCCTGATAATCAACAGTCGCTGCCCCCTTTTTTCGGCAAGGTGTAGAGGTTTAGCATGGTTTAGCGATCCATGGCGATCCTACAAACTTTTCAGATGCGATTTTCCAGTTCTTTCAATAGCAAGAAAAAATGAGAAACATATGCTCTACCTGTGTTGGTTTGGGGCCGTTTCACCGCTTGAAACATCATTGGCGTACCTAAGCCAATGTGTTTTATGGTGCGCTAGCTTCCGAAATCGGTCGAAAAAACGCGGACGTGCAGGACTTCAACAGCATCAAGAGTAGTGTCCAGGACAAACATGATCCCACCCCGCCCGGTCTCCTTGCTGTTTACTTGGAATTCTCGCCCACTAAATCAAATGACAATTACATAAATATATATAACATATGTTATAACATATATTACAATATATTAGAACATATTAGAACTAAATTCCATAAAAATGGCATTGAAGTGAGAGATTGGTGGCTGCGACTTTGC